CAGCCATTGTTAATATAACAAGAATGGTTTTCACAACATCCATGTAACATGGCAGGCAAGGAAAGTGGACTGGAATGTGCATATGTGAACAATGATGACTTCACTGTACAGGTCAGTGGGAGCAGTAGATGCCATTGAGTGAGCATGTGTGCTGTGTGGCTGTTGCATTCAAAATGGCTGAGAGAGTAGAACAAAAATCTGCATCAAATTTTGTGCTAATCTTGAACATTCTTCCACGGAAACTATTCGGAGGACTCAGAAGACTTTGGGGATGATGTAATGAGTGCAGTGCAAATAAACTTGTGGCACAAATACTTCAAAGATGGTCAAGAATCTGTTTAAAGTGATCCATGTTCTGGAAGGCCTGCAACAAGCAAAACACCTAAGAACATTGAATAAGTATGGGCTGCAATCGACAAAGATTGGCAACTGACAGTGTGAGAACTAGAAGCTGATTTAAGAATTTCAAAAAGTACTGTATCCAAGATTTTGACACAGGGTCTTAGCATGAAATGTGGGAAAATTAGTCCTGTGGCTTCTGCTACCAGAGCAGAAAGAATTTGGGGTTGTGGTTGTGAATGACTTGATTAAAACAACTTCCAATCAACCAGACTTCCTCAAGAAAGTCATAACTTTGCAGTGGACTGAGACATCATTATTGTATGTACAATGTTTCTTATATTTTGTATCTTCTTCAATAAATGTCTCTATTTTTCACATTACATGGTTGGATACTTTCTGGAAATACCTTGCTATTTTTTGCTTATCTGACAAAAAATTGATATAACTTTGATTTACAAAAAAAAATCATAGCAATTACCTTCCTTCCTTGTTCCAAAATGACTTTTTAAAAATCAGGTGCTTATATTTATATATAAGAATTTCTGGTACCAAGAATCAGCCCTGACTGGTGTGACTCAGTGGGTTGGGTTTCACCAAGCCAACCAAAAGGTCTCAGGTGTGATTCCTGGTCAGGACATGCGCCTGGGTTGCAAGCCAGGTCCTGGTTGGGGGCATGTAAGAAGCAATTGATCAATAGTTCTCTCCCTCTCTTTCTGCTTCCTTTCTCCTCTTTCTAGAAGTAAATAAATAAAATCTTCAAAGAAAGAATTAACCAATCAGACACAACTTTATTATGAGACAGCTCTATTTATGGTTCAAGACAGGGCATTCACACCAGAGGGCTATTGTGTTGACTATTGTGTTATTATTATTATTATTATTATCATCATTATTCTTTGACAATCTAAGAAAAAAGAGGTCAATGCCCCTGACTAAAGAGTCAGGTATTGCATGTTTTAAAAATTCTTGGGGGACACTGGTTGAAAATCACTGGTCTACGCACTAAGTAGACTTCTTGGAAAAATTTCAGTCAGCAGGGAGTACTTGAGCCATCCCCATTTGACTTGAAATTATGCCTTAAAAGACTGAAGAAGAAACTGACTAGTCAATTATCTGGAAGAATAAATAATTTTGGAGTTACCTCTTTGGAGACTGACCTTTTCATCTATGATGATTAATATTTTGTGTCAAATTGACTGGGCCTCAGGTTGCCCACCATTATTCTTGAGTTTACCATTATTCTTAGAGTGTTTGTGAGAGGATTTCTGGAGGGATTAACATTTGAATCAATAGGCTGTGTAAAGCAGATTGCCTTCCTTGATGTGGGTGGGCCTCATCCAATTCCTTGAAGCTCAAAATAGACAAAGATTCAGTAAGGGAGAATTCACTCTCTTAACTGCCTTCAAGCTGGGACATTGATCTTCTATCTCTGGACTAGCATGTGAACTGAATTTTACATCTTCCATTCTCCTGCTTCTCAGGCCTTTAGACTCAGACTGGAAGTAAACCATAAATTCTAAACTGACCCAGGTCTCCAGCTTGCCAACTGCAGGTGTGCAAACTTCTCAGCCTCCATAGTTGTGTAAGCCAATTTCTTATAATTTCTCTCTCTCTCTCATTCTCTATTTCTTTGGAGAACCCCAATACAGATTTTGGTCCTGAGTGTGGTTCTAGAAGAATAGAATGTTAAGGATGAATTTTCTAAATTGTTCCTGGGATTCTGTAATTACTCTCTAATCTGATTAAAGATGCTAGTGACTCTATTTCCAGTAGTAAAAAGAGCACTGAAATTCCATTCTGTGAATAGTCAATAGAAATTTATAAAATATCTGCATTGGATACACCTAATTATTGAACACACTTATAAAAAGCAAGGATCTGAATGACTGTGTATTGGATATTGTTGAACATTTTTGAAAAACTAACTAATATAATGAGATTGCTGGTTGCTTCTAAAGTTGCTGGACAAAGTTATGAACAAAAAGAATGAGCTCAGGGATTTGAATTCTCAGCTCAAGCACCACATAAATGACCAATGTGTGCCCTGAAGGAAACCCTTGTCTCCTGTAGCCTGGGTGCTGAGATTGCTAAAAATCAAATGTAAAATCTGATCCTGTAACTGGCTGAATTACAACACAAGTTGAATACCCAGCCTCACAGAGGCTGTATTTTCTGTTACAGTGAGAACATTAAGAAAGAATGGAATCCCATAAGTTGGAATAAGGAAGACCCTGGAAAAGCTGGGCAAGCTGAGCTCCTAGATTCTGATTATCTTCTTTGGCAGTGGAACTGGCCTGTTCCAGTAGAACCAGCCTCCCCACCTCCAGTGGTAACAATCTTTCCACCTCCTACCAGAGTAAGAGGAAATTAACCCTACTTGTCTGAGGAAAGTAATGGCTTTCCCCTAAGACTATTGCCTCCCATGACAATGCTAATTATCTTCAGGACCCACCACTCACCACTCTCTTTGCTTTTAGACTTACAAGTAGACTCAAATTCCAGCAGGCCCATATGGGTGAGGTAGAAATCTCAGTACAATCTATGAGGAGGTGTGCTATAGTCCCAAAGCACTACTTAAGTTTTATAATTTATATGAACAGAAATCCAGGCAATGTGTGTAAGAATGGATATTAAAGGTGCGAGATCATGGTGCCAGGAACATAAAGTTGAATCAGGCCAAATTTATCGATGTCTGGCATATTACAGGCCCTTGAAAAGGGAAGGCTTTGGCTGCAACATCTGTTACACTGTCAGTCTCCAGAGTAAATCTGTGAATCTGGTTCAAGGAGCCCAACCTCTCATTTTCTCTCATTGTTCATATCCTTCCTTGTCTCTCACAGCTTATAAGTATCCCTCCTTAAAGAGCAAGGGGGTTTGAAAAGTATAGTTAGGGGAAATTTGTTCTTTACTCAACAAAGGGTGAGGATGAAGTACAATAAATTGTTGGATTTTTTCCTTTTTTATAATCATATTTCAATATTTACCTTTTCTTTTTGTGTCCAGCCATTTCTTCTTCTTTAGCTATTCATAATCCCCCAATTCCAGTAAACACACACACCCCATGACCTATAGGTCAAGACCAATGTCCTAATCATTTACTCTACAGTCCATTACCAAGGTGCTCCAAGCTAGTTTAATTTCTTTCTTTCATGGCCTCATTTTTAAATTTATTCTTTGTATTTCATCGAAGCTTATAGCAGCTCTCTTCACTTACTTGTCCTTATATGTTTTAAGGCCCTTTCCCAAGCTGTGACATGAAAATGCGACGTTTCTTTTCAATACATTAGTTTTCCCAGATGATCCTAGAGACTTAAGGACTTTTCCTGGCCCTATACTCACAGACATGGAATTTCTTCAAGTATATACATGTATTGGTTGTGTGATTAAACACATTACTTACCATTCTTACAACACCTTACTGTTTGTTTTTCTTCGGTAAATGTTCGCTCCAACAAAGCCTATTGAAATTTAACAATACCACTGTGATGGACGTTGTGGATATAAAATGAATAATGCACTTACTTCAGCCTAGGAGGAGCTCATAGTGTGGAAAGCAAAGGTAGCATGTAAACACGTATATTGCAATGTGATGTGAAGCAAAATGAACTTCCCTTGGGTGAACTGGTAAAAAGTCTCATATGAAGTGACACATAAAAAAAAGATTTTATTTATTTATTTTTAGAGAGAAAAGGGAGGGAGAAAGTGTGAGAAACATCGATGTGGGACAGATTCATTGCAGTCCCCCAGACCGGTACCTGCTCACAACCAAGGCATGTACCCTGACTGAATGGAGCTGCTGGTTTGGAGGCCAGAGTTTAATCCACTGAGCCACACCAGCCAGGGAGAAGTGATATTTATATTAGTCTTGAAACCTAAGTAGGAGTTTGCCAATCAGAGGACGGGACGAGTTCCAGTAAGGGCAGAATAGAGCATCTGAGTAAAAAGTATCAAGCGTGCAGAGGCTTTGAAAATACTGAGGACGACACTGACATGTTTGGGGATGTCTGATGGCTTCAGGGTGGTTGGATGTGTGTTGGATTGAATGGCAGGGATCAAATTGAGAAGGTGTGTGTACAGAGGGTTGAATTCTATAGACAAGTAGAGAGAGAGGAAACTGTTTAAGGAGTTTAAAAATCAGGATTTTCTGTTACACTTCTATTTTTACTAACCTAAGTACCCAGACTCCAGGTTTTAAAGTCTGAAAAGGGGTGTGTTCTCCTTGCTTAATTAGAGGTGCTCAGGATAGACTCTCAGGTGAGACACTGCTTTCCACCACCTCCCACCCCCGCCCCCAGGTCTAGAAATAGCATGTTTTCAGTATACCCAGGGTTACTCAATCTGATCCCAGTGCCCACCTGTTCTAATTTATTTATTGTTTATTACTGCAACACTATTCTCTAAACGATGTCTCTCCTTGGTCACGGTTGGATATAAACTTTGTCTCTCAACCACACTTCTCTATTTTGACACTTTCTTTTTTAAGTTCTGTCGACCTAGTCTTTAAGTGTTTTGCTGCTGTTCTGGTCCATCCCACCCTAGGTCTTAAATAAACACTCTAACACAAGCATCACCGGTGGCCACGCCCACGCAAAAAGTTGCGGATCCAGGAGGTTTGTCTGCAACAGTGAGCCGTACTGACGGTAGTAGTGCGCAAGCGCACATCCTGGCTTGCAGAGGCCTGTTTCTTTCTCCGGCTTCTTGGTAGGTGGACGCGCGCTTCGGTTTCTTGCTCTTACGGGAAGTTGTATTTTGCTTCGGCCGCTTGCCTCGCAGTCTCCCTGCTCCTGGACCCGCTGCTGTGGGTCGCACGCCTCCACCGGCAACAGACCGATGGCCGAGCGTGGGGAACTTGACCTGACCGGCGCCAAACAGAACACCGGAGTGTGGCTGGTCAAGGTAATGTTGGTACGACTGTCGCTTGCGGGCCTCCTACTATAAGTTTAAGTTTCTTGAGACCGCCCCATTTCGTGCACCTTTTAAAGTTCCTCATAGTCATCTTCACGTATCTTGAGTTTTATGACTCATTGTTATGCACTTTTGCAAGCGAGGAAACTAGCTTAGGGAACAGCAATATCTTTCAGCCAGAGTCCCAACCTGCCTGGAAGAGATTTCCATTCTGAACGACTTTATTTTTCCGGGGCCCTTTCATGGCCCCGATTCGAGCGGTGCATTTTAACCTAGATTGAAGAATTTCTGTATTTTTTCTTGGCGAAACTGATTTAAGTCATGAGCCTGTAAAGGAAGTTGAGTGTCTGCTTCCTGTACATTTTTCTCGACCAGAAAGTAGAACTGATCTCTGCATACCCTTAAATGCACTCTTGGGTTGGTGGCCCTTAACCACCTTAGAAAGCTCTGAGTTCACGGAATAAGAGGCCATTGGATTGGAGTGTTCTTTTAGAGCATGACAGGGTCTCCTGAAACATAGTCAAAAAAAGGTTTTTTTGTAAATACAGCAATTAGACATTAATGAGCGCAGTATTTGTACTTTACTTTTTCATATAGGTGTTTATGAGAGTTTCATAAGATACATATGTATGTTCAAAATGTGATTATGTGTCTTTGAACCTCAAGCAAAATGGTTTGTTAAACTTAAAAAAAACTTTTTATCACATGGCTGCATTATCAAGTAAATCTGAGAGGTCCTTCTAGTTCACCTTTCTAAAATAATTTCCTTATCATCCTTCCCTAGCATGTAGAACCTGTGTTGTGCTATTCTTCAAAACCCTTCCACAGTCTGAAGTGATTCTATGTTCGTGTGTTCAGTGTTGGTTACCTCCCTTTCCCTAGCGCCTGCACATATACATGCACACACACAGTCGCATTACATGAGCATAGTACCCTTGCCTGTCACACCCAGAATTGTGTTTGGCACATGGTAATTGCTCAAGATAGGTGATGAATGAATGATTTCTTACTCAGCTCTAGCCTTAGTCTCTGGCACTCATTTGACTTATCACAGCTATGTCAGTATGAATTAAAGAGTAAGTGAGCATTTCTCTTTCCATGCTAAATGGAGGAGAAACATTAAGGAGATATCCCTTATAGACTTAAAGAAAGAACTTGAAAAAATGGTGGAATTTGAGATGATGCATTTATGATTGGAGCACAGTAAATGCTCAGTCGATGTTTACCTTAATAGGATTTGGATGGGTGGACAGAAGCATAGCATAGTATGCTATGGAACAGAAATGCAAGACTGCAATGCATATTAACATGATGTCTCCTGGAAAATAAAGAGATTATTATGCCTGGAGCAGAGGGTCTGTGTAAAAAAAGGTTGGGAACATGTACTCATTCTTTGTATCTGACTCAAGATTGAAAAACTGTAAAGGTGTATGATGATTTAGAGTTCACACTACTTCCTAGAAGAAATGAGTTAAGTACACAGTAGGGATCCAACGTGTATTTTCTTAACCATTTTGAGAATTATAACCCTTCTAATTGCAGGTATCTAGTTATGAACACAATGTAGTGTATTGGTTACATAGATGTGGGAACCAGAGGGCCTGGATTTGAATCCTGGCTCCATCATTGCTGATTATATAACCTAGACTAAATTGGGTAATCCCAGATGCCTCAGATCCATCATCTGTCATATGGGGGTAATCAGCAGTACATACCTTGTAGAGATGTGAGGGTTAAATGCATAAGTGTGTGGAAAGTGCCTGTAACAGTGTTAGGAAACTAGCGTTATATAAATGTTAGCTATTATGTTTAATAATATTTTCATTTCATTAGATCTTTCATATTGGTCAAAGTTTATTATTATACATAATAAAACATAACTTTTGAAATCATCTTAAAGTCACTGGTGTCCTAAATAATATGTCAGAGTGTTATGCTCCTCTGAGAAGTCTTTACTGATACCTTTCTCTTTTTTTTTTGAATTTTATTTTTAAATATATTTTATTGATTATGCCGTTACAGTTCTATTTTTCCCCTTCATTTCCCTCCATCCTGCACACCTCCTCTCCCACCATTCCCCCCTTTAGCTTATGACCACGTGTTTCAAGTTCTTTAGATTCTATATTTCCACTACTATTCTTGCCCTCCCCCCATCTGTTTTCTACCTACTGTCTATGCTACTTATTTTCTGTACCTTCTCCCCCCTTCTCCTCCTCCCACTCCCCTGTTGCTAACTCTCCATGTGATCTTCATTTCTCTGGTTCCGCTGCTGATCTAGCTGTCTTCTTAGTTTGCTTTTGTTTTAGGTGTGGTTGTTAATAACTGTGAGTTTGCTGTCCTTTCACTGTTCATTTTTTTTATCTTCTTTTTCTTAGATAAGTCCCTTTAACATTTCATATAATAAGGGCTTGGTGATGATGAACTCCTTGAATTTGATCTTATCTGAGAAGCATTTTAACTGCCCTTCCATTCTAAATGAAAGCTTTGCTGGATAGAGCCATCTTAGATGTAGGTCTTTGGATTTCATGACTTGGAATACTTCTTTCCAGCCCCTTGTTGCCTGTAAGGTCTCTTTTGAGAAATCTGCTGACAGTCTGATGGGGACTCCTTTGTAGGTGACTGTCCCCTTATCTCTTGCTGCTTCTAGGATTCTCTCCTTCATGTTAATCTTGGCTAATGTAATGATGATGTGCCTTGGTGTGTTCCTTCTTGGTGGGTCGAACTTCTTTGGAACTCTCTGAGCTTCCTGGATTTCCTGGAAGGCTATTTCCTTTGTGAGATTGGAGAAGTTCTCTTTTATTATTTGTTCAAATAAGTTTTCCACTTGTAGCTGTTCCTCTTCCCCTTCTGGTACCCCTATAATTCGGATGTTGGAACGTTTAAAGATGTCCTGAAGGTTCCTAAGCCTCTCCTCATTTTTTTGAATTCTTGTTTCTTCATATTTTCTGTTTGGTCATTTTTTTCCTCCTTCTGGTCCACTCCTTTGATTTGAGTCCCAGTTTCCTTTCCATTACTATTGGTTTCCTGTGCCTTTCCCTTTATTTCAATTAGTTTTAGCCTTCATATGTTACTCTAATTTGTGACTAAAATCAACCAGTTCTGTGAGCATCCTGATCACCAGTGTTTCGAACTGTGCATCTGAAAGTTTGGCTATTTCTTTGTCACTTAGATTCATGAGCTCTGGGGCTCTGAGTTGTTCTTGAGCCATGTTTTTATCTGTTTGTGCCTGTTAGGTATGAGGAGCAGAGCCTTAGATGTTCACCAGGGCAGGGCCACCCAGGTTGCTGTTTTGTGATGCTATATGTGGAGGCAGGGTCAGAGAGGGACAATAGTGGTCCCCTCTGCCGCTTCTTGCTGCTGGGGCCTGCTTGGTCCGTCTCACCGCTCGCTCCTTCACCGGTTTATCTGCACGCGAATGTGTGACTGTGGTCAGCCCTCAGTGGGTCCACCACCTTTCGCCCTCAGTGGGTCCGCCTGCTACTCCACACCTGGAATCTGCCCACAGCTGCCAGCACGTTTGGGTCATGCGCCTGGGTTGTCCGGTGGATCTTTCCTGCCCCACCTCGCTCTGCTGCTGGCTTTGCCCCTCTTACTGGTTTGGCTGAAGGGTTGGTTGTTGTCAGACTTCTGTATAGTTCAATTTTCTGTGGTTTGGCTGTGTTTTTGTTGCTAAAACTTTGTGGTTTTTAAACTTGGTTGTGCGAGAAGGCAGAGTGTTTCCACCTACGCCTCCATCTTGGTGGAAGTCCTCTCCGTTACTTTTCTTATCTTTGAACTTTTATTGGACTTACTTGGGAACATAAGTTAATACTTGTTTCTCTTTATTTTACCCATGTTATTTTTGTGTCACAAACTTGATTGGCTCCAAGCTCTTTGAAAGCAAAAGGCATTTCTTACCTATCTTATTATAGTGCAAAACATATATTGAGTTTGATATTAATGATTATTTATTACAAGCAGAAAGTAAAATGGAAACAGTATATCATTTTATGTTTAAAAAGATTTATTAGTATCGAAAACATAGTCAGTCTTATTAATTTTTTACTTTGTGTTAGGTTCCTAAATATTTGTCACAGCAATGGGCTAAAGCCCCCGGAAGAGGTGAAGTTGGGAAACTGCGGATTGCAAAGTAAGTTATTTGTATGTTTTTGACTTTTTGAAATGCTGTTTGTATAAAAATTTTAAGTGTTTTTTACATGGAATTACAGTCTTTTTCAATTCAACTGGAAAATTCGAGGTAATGAGCATGTCAGACCTTGTCAAGAGATGGTTAGATGCTTTGTAGGGAGTCGTCTGTGCGCATGTGTGTGCACAGATAAACATTCTCACACTGGCACTGCCCCCCTTCTGACAGGTGTAAATATGAAATCAAATTTATTGGTAAAACTTATTGGCAGTAAAGCAGAATATGTAGTTCCCGCTTTCCTCCGTCCTCTCCACATCTTGTGAGGAGATATACTGGTGTTATCATAACTGGATGCTTCAGTAGAAGGATTTTGCCCTTGTGCTACTGTTGGAAGTGGGTAGGGAAAACCTGGTAAACAGTGTAACAATGTAGTTTCCTGGTGGAGGAAATGGCCTTCTTACAAAGGGAATCCTCTAAAGTTAAGCCTGTGTCAGCCAGAGGGCTCGTGTTTCACTCTCTCTATCCATTCAGTTTTTTTTTAATTTTATTTCTAATGACTGAAACAAAAAAGATCTAAAATTATGTCTACTAGAAAAATTATTGGTTCTTGCCAGTCTTGTACCTCTCTCTGAACTTGACTTTGGCCTCCCCTCAGGCCTTGCTGTCTCAGAGCAGGGATAACAGTTTTGTCCAAGGGGATACGCACATAGTACCTTGTGGATATGAGGTGATTGTAGTTATAAACTTTCATAAAAGACTTGATCTTTGACCTCTTGACAATTTCTTCTTACCCATGGCAGCTATCTCTTTGTGGGGATAGTGGTCAATTCCAGACATACCAGCATGGCTAAAAGCATAGTCTGAGGTGCCATCATCAGTGTTCTTCATGATGACCGCTTCGTGTCCAGAGTAGCATCCAGCCAGGACCAGTACCACCTTCCAGGGTTTCATAAACTTGTCCATTTCCACAGTGACCACTCGGGCCTAGAGCAGAAAGGCTTTGTCCATTCTTTCCTAATCCAGCTCTTAACACAATTTCTATGCCTGCCACTTCATTAAATAGCTCTTACCTGCCACCATTATCCTCTCCTTTGCCAAGCTTTTGCTTTAAAACAAACCACCACAAAATTCAGTGGCTTAGAACAAAAGCCATTTTATTTGCTTGTAATTCTGTGGGGCAGTTCTGGTTGGGGCGGACCAGGCTGGTCTTTCTAGCTAGAATGGCCTTACTCATGTGTCTAGTGGTTGGCTTGCTATCAACTGGGGTAGTAGTCATGTGTATTTCATTTCCTGCATGCTTATTCACATGATGGTGAAAGAATTCCGAGTAACAAAAGAGAAATCCCAATGCACAAGCACTTTACAAGGCTGTTCTTGGATCTGGTTTGCCAAAGTTTTATTGACCAATGCAACTTCCATAGCCAAGCCTAACTTCAGGGGTGGAGCAGTAGACTCCACCTCTGGGCGGGAGTCACAGCAAGTAATTTGTGGTCCATTTTTGCAGTCTGCCACATCCATGTTCCTAAATCTGACAGCTAGCAGCCCTCTTGATCCACTTCAATAGAATTTAACATACTGATCACTTCTTATCCTCAAACACTTTTTTCCACTTCACTTCCAGGAAATTATTCTCTTGATCACTGGCTATTCTTTCTCAGTCTCTATTGCTGGCTCCTTCTCATCTTCTCACTTAGGGTTCAGTTTTTAGTTTTTTTCTTCTCTCTACTTAGGATTATGTAACCCTAGGGTTCAGTTTTTAGTTCTTTTCTCTATTTGACTGGTTATTTAGGTGGTCTTATTTGGTCTCAGGTCATATCAGGTGTGTTTAAAGCTACATTTCAAGTATGGCTTCTGTCCTAATCTCCAAGACTCATATATCTGGCAACCTCTATGATATTTCCCCTTGGATGTTTTGGAGCATTTCAAACTTAGTAATCACCTTTTCTCTCTTTTTTTTGGAACACTCTTCCTTTAGATGTCCCTATGGATAATATTAGCTCAGCCAGGCCTTTCCTAATTATCCTATGTAAAATAGCACCTAGTACTCTATTCTCCTTATTCTCTTCTTTCCCTCTGTAGAAATTACCACCACCATTCTTTCATTTAGCTTCAATGTCCATCTGACATACTATGCCACGCCCTCTTCAACCATGTTGTCTGACAAGGTCTGGGCATGGAGGACTCAAGTTCAAGGAATTCATCTCCCCAGAGGAGAACATGGCATCAAAATGGGTTAACAATTGGCTCTTTTATTTTAATTATTTTACTCTTGCTACTGAATATAGGCATTGTACTGTACTTACTTATTCCTGTGAAAATCACCCAAGAGGAAGGGACAGTTCAGGGGAAAACATTAGTATTCCCCACGGAACTGCCTGAAAGGATGGAAAAATCCCTACAGATTCCCTTCTCCCTTATACAGGGGTGTACGACAGCCAGGATAATATAATTGTTAACCATAAGGGAAAACATGTCAAGTTGTATAAATTACCCTGGTTTGAGCAACTTAAAGCGATCAGGACTGCCATGGTGTACCAGAAATAAGAAAAACAAGTTAGATCTCTTAAATCAACAGTTAAGGGCAGGTAATAAAGAACCAGGAAGCACAGGTTGTGCTGCCAACAGTTGAGGAAAGAACAGATTAGAAAGACTTTCCCACACCTGTTCCTTACCCACAGCTACAAAGGGTCTTCCAAGAAAATAAGTAAAAACTATATAGACCCCTACCCACAGCCCAGGGATACGGTCGGGATGGTTGAGATGCATCTGCAAGGCAGAGGCAACTGTGGCTGGATTTCCTGTCTATCTCTCCTTACATGTTTGTTTGGGTGATCAAAAGGTGGTGGGATTGTTAGACACCTGTATTTCAGGTTCAGTGATTAGCATAATTCCAATGGAGTTGTGCAAAATAATTCCTTGACTAGAGAACAAAGTCTCTGTATGTCTAAAAGTTGTTGAAGTAACAGCCCCTCCTTTACCTTGAATAGGAATATATATCAATTAGACCGCCAAAGAAATAAGAGAAGCTGGTTAGCTATTACACTTGTAGAAACAGTTAACTAGGAAGTCAGAGTTTATAGTACACAGAGAAACATTTTAGACAGAAAAGGATAGATAGTTAAGTTAGACATCACAAAGGCCTTATAATAAATTTCCTATTACCTCTACCCAATCTAGCGTATCCTTTTGCCCCATGGCAAATTCTGAGAAACTTTAATAAACATTAAGACATTCAAAGTCTCACTTCCGCCAAGATGGAGGTGTAGGTGAAAACACCTTGCGTCCACGCACAATGAAATCTAAAAACAACAAAGTTTTAACAATAATAAGCACAACCAAACCACACAGAAAATCGACAATACAGAGTCCAAAAATAAGAGGGGTGAAGCCAGAAGCAGAGCGGGTTGGCCAAAAAGATCCCCGACTGGGGTGGTACGCAAGCAGCCGAAGGCATGAATCCCAGGTGTGGGCTAGCTACGGGCGGACACAGGGAAGAGGCGCTGCTGGCTGGCTGCGGTCGGTTGAGCATTTGCGTGCAGATAAACCAGTGAAGAGGTGAGCATTGAGACAGACCACACAGGCCCTGGTGCAGGGCGGTGGGCTCGCACATTTCCGCTCAGGTAAACAGGCAGGGGCGAGCGGTGGGATAGACTGGGCTAGCAGAGAGGACCGCCATTGCTCCTCTCTGACCCTGCCCCCACATACAGCATCACAAACCAGTGACCTGGGTGGCCCTGCCCTGGTAAACAACCAAGGCTCCGCTCCTCATACCTAACAGGCACAAACAGATAAAAACATGGCTCAAGAACAACTCAGAGCCCCAGAGCCAATAAATCTAAGTGATGAAGAAATAGCCAAACTTTCAGATGCACAGTTCGAAACACTGGTGATCAGGATGCTCACAGAACTGGTTGATTTTAGTCACAAATTAGAGGAACATATGAAGGCTAAACTAATTGAAATGAAGGGAAGGCACAGGAAACCAATAGTAATGGAAAGGAAACTGGTAATAAAATCAAGGGAGTAGACCAGAAGGAAGGAGAAAAATGACCAAACAGAAAAGAATGAAGAAACAAGAATTCAAAAAAATGAGGAGAGGCTTAGGAACCTCCAGGACATCTTTAAACGTTCCAACATCCGAATTATAGGGGTACCAGAAGGGGAAGAGGAACAGTCACGAGTGGAAACCTTATTTGAACAAATAATAAAAGAGAACTTCCCGGTTATGGCAAAGGAAATAGACTTCCAGGAAATCCAGGAAGCTCAGTGAGTCCCAAAGAAGTTGGACCCAAGAAGGAATACACCAAGGCACATCATCATTACATTAGCCAAGATTAACATGAAGGAGAGAATCCTAGAAGCAGCAAGAGATAAGGGGACAGTCACCTACAAAGGAGTGCCCATCAGACTGTCAGCAGATTTCTCAAAAGAGACCTTACAGGCAACAAGGGGCTGGAAAGAGGTATTCCAAGTCATGAAAACTAAAGACCTACATCCAAGATTGCTCTATCCAGCAAAGTTTTTATTTAGAATGGAAGGGCAGATAAAGTGCTTCTCAGATAAGACCAAATTCAAGGAGTTCATCATCACCAAGTCCTTATTATATGAAATGTTAAAGGGACTTATCTAAGAAAAAGAAGATAAAAAAGATGAACAGTGAAAGGACAGGAAACTCACAGTTATTAACAACCACACCTAAAACAAAAGCAAACTAAGAGGACAGCTAGATCAGGAGTGAACCATAGAAATGAAGATCACATGGAGAGTTAGCAACAGGAGAGTGGGAGGAGGAGAAGGGGGGAGAAGGTGCAGAAAATAAGTAGCATAGACAGTAGATAGAAAATAGATGGGTGGGAGGGTAAGAATAGTAGGGGAAATACAGAATCTAAAGAACTTGAGACACGTGTTCATGAACTAAAGGGGATGGTGGGGGAGGGGTGTGCAGGGTGGAGGGAACCGGAGGGGGGATATAGAACAAATGTAATGGCATAATCAATAAAATA